TATAACATTCCCCAGAACGAGTTGCAGGACCGCACACTCAGGCACAACGTGAACATGTCCCTTTGCACGAGGCTCATCTTCACACCCCAGAATCCATCACCATCACTTGCAAAACGACGTGGGGAACTGGAGGGCAGAGGCATCCCATGAGCATGGAGCAGCCTGCAGCACGCAGCCTGATGCCACCAGCACGGCCCCAGGAGGAGCAGTGTGCAGGGAGAGCTGAGGTGGTTCTGCAAAGCCAGAGCTGGAAGGGTGGCAGCAATCTCCCAAGGTTTAAAGAAAGCACAAAGAGCAAGAACCTTGTCTCTGTGATGCAGAAAACAAGGCGAAAGTCATAAACTGCTCTAAGAGAGAATCAGGCTGGACTTAGAGACAAAAGAGCCAAGGATACCAGGCCCGGGGCGAGGAGCAGCTCAGTACACTGGGTCTGCTCTGGGCCAGGGGAGTCGAGTGACCCCTGTGGCCCCTCTTGCAGGTTTACCCCTGACTCCACCAGGGTTTGTGCTTTTGGAGCTGTCCTCATACACAAGCAGCCTGCTCCAGCCCCGGGGCTCACAGCGTACCTCTGATGGCTTTCATTCACAGAGGTTTTTTTGTCCTTTTCTATAAAATATTCACATCTTTGAAAATTATGTTTTTTGGTTGCTTACTTTATATTTTGCTTTTTTAATAAAATCAGTGACAAAATTCTCTGTCTTTTGATTTCCAAAACCTCACAACTATCTGTACCGATTCCAGCTGTTTAAGGTTTTGTATCCTATGGAACACCGATATACTGATAATACGAACTGCATTCTAATGGATACACGCATACACTTTCCAAAATCTCGCTTTCAGTTACGCATTTGTCCTCAAACCTCATACTTCTGTTTTCTCCCAGAGGGACCCACCAGCCCCCAGTAGTGCAGCTGTGGGGCAGCCAGCCCTATCTGCGCCCCCCGGGCTGTGCCGTGCCGTGCTGCTGGCCTTGCTGTGCTGCGGCCATGCTGGGCCATTCTCCCAGCCCTGTTCTGCTCAGCGTTGGGCGCAGGCGCAGCTCGCCCAGCTGCCAGCATGGCCCCAGCCCCAGCAGGAACCAAGGTTTTGGCAGGAAGTTTCCACAGAAGCTGCAACTGCTTTTAGAAACAGAGAGCATTACAGGCGGCCACAGCTCCACCTCCACAGAGCTTCTCTTTTCAAAATTAGTTTGTCAAATAACTGAATGTTCACTGTAAGAGTCCTGTTCTGTGACAGCGTTTTTCACACTACGCCAAAAACCCGGTGATGCCTGTGGAAAAGTGTATTTTTGAGGTCCTCTCCCTGTTACACACCGGTCTGTGGCCCACGGGGTCTGCAGCACGAGCTGGCTGCTCACTGGGTACCACGCACTGCAGAAACCAGCACCCCAAAGCTATGGAGGGCTCTGGCTTCCTCATCACTAGGTTTCTCTCAGGCAGCAGGAGTGGGGCTTCTTCCTGCCCATCCCCTCCAGCAGCAGACCACCTTCTTCCAATCTTCTTCCTGCTGAACGTACTGAGGTTTGTGGCTCGGACTGAACTGCCTGTTCTCCCCCTCTCATGCTTATCTTTCCCCCCTAAGTCATGTAATTTGTATTTATAATTTTGAACATCACTTGCTATCTAAACCTAGTTGTTTCACAATGCTTATTTTTACTTTATGAATGGGAAAAAGGAAAAGAAAAAAAAAAAAGGAGTACCTATAACTGAATTCTGTTTCATTCAGTTATAGGTACTGAGCTCCTGTCAAGTTCTGAAGTTTCAAGTGATTCCTCAGAAATACATCCTTTAATCTGTAACAGAATTAGACAAACCACTTTGCTATTTGCTTTGACATTTGTTAGGCTTGGCGACTACAAGAAGGTAAATTTGCCTTTTCCCCAGCTGCACTGGAGCTGAACAAGCAAAGTCAGGTTTGTGAAAGGTGATAACACGCTTTGTGGCTTCCGTGCACAATTCCTTCACTTCGGGGGACAAACGATACCTCCTCAGAGATCTGAACTCCGGCTGTTTCCTTCTTAAGATTTTATGTTCTATTGCACAGCCTGGCATTAATATAATTAACTTTGCTCTTTGTGCGCTGCAATCACAGCACACAACAGACTGCAGCACTGCAGCTCCTCGGGGAAGGACGGCCGCCCTGAGCAGGGCAGGTTGGAAGCTGCCCACATATGGCACCCGAGGAAGAGGAGGCACTTTGCTGACGGGGCCCTGTGGCATTTCTGTTTGCCTGTTTGAGTTTTTCTCATAAAAAATGAATGCTGAAAGGACGTAAAGGAACAATGATTTTCCTTTGAGGAAATTTGCACTTGTGTTTCAAAGAAGCTCAGTGTGGATCAGGGCGGACTCGGTGACAATTGCTATCCCATGATATTTGTACCTTTCCCCGACTTACATCCCTCTGCCTGTCACCACATAAAGCGAGGGCACAGATGCAGCACACAGATAACTTCAGCACTGATTGCACAGCCTTGGTAGTCCCTGGGAATGAGCGCAGCAATGGGCCGTTTGTCCCTCTTCCTGTTTCTGTTCTATCACAAAGGAGTACGTGAGCCTGTTTCCGCTCTATGTGCTTACATCAGTACGCCGGGCATTTGCAAAGCCCTTGTTCCGGTCACAGAGTATTCTGCATGAACTCTTTGTTGCCCAGTTTTCTCTTCATTCACGGCAGTGGGTCAGTGCCTGTAAAAACTGTATTTTCCTCACGCAGAGCTGGCTTTAACAAACAACCTGTGTGTAAGATGTGCGTCCTTACATGGCCCCAGCACGAGGCAGAGCATGGCCAGTGGGGTGCTCACAGCCAGCAGCTGGCATGGCCACCACAAAGCCCCACTGTCCCCGTGCAGCCACCTCCACTCCACTCATTCCAAGGGCCTTGCCCCAAAGCCGTCACTTGGTTGCACTAACACTTCAGTTTTACTTCAACTCCTGTCATTTTCTCATTTTCATGTAAGATGCACTGACCTGACTGCTGGGTCAGCTCCGGGCTGCCTGGGACCTGCAGCCACCTCAGCTGGCCCACCCCAGCCACCACTGGGACCTGCCACCATTGGGATGTGGCGCTGCTGGAACCTGTCACCACCAGAATCCATCATCGCTGGAACCTGCCCAAAGCAACCTGCCGCTGCTGGCACCTCCCTGTGCTAGAGACTGAGCTCAGAGCACACTCCTCTTTGATAAAGTACAACTCTAGTTTGCTTTATCATTAGTTTCATGCCTAATTCCTAAGCAATGTGCTCTCTCACTGTATCCTATGATGCCTTCATGCTATTTACTATAGGCTTTATAGGTCACAGCAGACCAAACTCTCAAGTCCCAGCCAAAGTATGAAGTACAAGCTCTGCAGTAACATGATGTCCAGGCAGGGCACTGGAAAGAGGAGATTGTAAGGAATTCTCAGGTTCAGGTTATCATCTGGAATACCAAACAGAACGATGGACTAATTACCTTCCAGGCAAACATGGATAAAGAAATGTTTCATCGTACGCTCCAGCTTCACACATATTAGAAGAAAAAGCTATAAATTAAATGATGAGGGAAGAAAGAGAAGCATATTGTGTGAACAGAAAAGACATTTCATGGTGCAGAGTCACGATGCTTTGTTACAACAGGAGCACAAAAGAGGAACCCCTCAGCACCAGGTTCGGCAGTGACTCTGGCAGTGAAGCAGGGCTCCGACACCTTGGGACTAAAGGAGCTCCCCAACGCAGCAGCAGTGGTGGATGAGAAAGGAGCCCAGAAAGCTGTGCTCAGGCCCACAGACACTCTGTGCTGCACAGCTGGAAGCAGGGCTGTGCCTGCCATAGCAGTGTTCTGCTGCACCCGAGGCACAGTGCACAGAGTATGGCTGCAGCACATGACTCTCAGCACCAAGCCCTCACCTCTCCTTCTGCAAACCAGAACACTATGCTATGCTGCACACTCAAGGCATGCCTGGTGCCTCCGCTTACACCATCACAAAACAAACCTCCTGTTCTAGTTTTCCATCTTTTTGCTGGCCTTCATAAAAGGCAGATCATACATAGCTTCAATTGTAGACCCAACACGATAACAGCCCTCAGGAAGCTCTTCAGCTCCTTATGTTGTTTTTGTTCAGCACTGATAAGGCACATGTTCTCCAAAAGGGTCTGACATTAAGTTTCAGCCTTGGCAGTAAAGAAAGTGATTCTTACATCCCTTTTGTCACAGTGTGAGTTCTTCGGTGAAGAACTTCCGCTTCTGCTCTGCAGCAACATGGAGGCACCCAACTCGTGCTGCTGTGTTAGAAGGGGTTTTGTCTGCTGTGGCAATACCCCGACATGTGTGCTTCAGTAAAGCAATGGGCACGTTTCATGTCCAGCATTTCTGCCGCACGGTACTTCCAGCCAAAGCCTTGTGTGAATGTGCAGCAATACTACTTTTATGAAAAGTAGCGAAACGTTCAGCAAAAACTTCTACAAGTCTTCAAGAACACAAATGAGCAAAATCTGCGCTAACGATTTCACATCAAATAATTGCAACATCCAGAGTGTGTTCTGCATAACGGCCACTTTACAGCCGTTTAACCAACAGCAGGGGCCCATTTCCACTCACTGCAACCCCCACAGCGAGAGGCGCAGCCGCCCAGCCTGTGGGCTCAGGGAGACATAGGCACATGGCCTCAGCTTTCCTAGTGGAACAAGAGCCCAAACTGACAGAACATCGCTCCACAGAACCCAAGAAAAACTGGAGAGGCATTGAAGGCTCCATGTCTGCCTGGTGGGGCCAGGCGAACTGCCCGCATCCCCGTCATGTGTGCCACGTCCCACAGAGCCCACAGGGAAAGGTCTGCATGGCTGTGATCTGGCCCCAAGAGATGGCTGTTGCCTTCACTGCGCCCAGTGAGTGCAGAGAGCTTTACATAAAGTTTGCCAAGCAAAATTTCCAAGTTTCTTTACCATGTTCCTTAAATCTTCCCAATTTATCTCACAAAATACATTCAGTAAGATGCAGTATAACGAAACAGCATTCCAAACAGCTTACCATAACCTCCCAGGGCACTGCACATCGTTCTGCCGTGAGCGTGCAAGGGCGCAGCCAGGACAGCACGCAGCTCCCGCTGCCTGAACGCCCGCCTGGCTTCCGCCTGCGCACAGCTTCAGTGCCACTGCCGGCCCACAGTGCTGCACAGCACTGCCTGCTGCTCACTGCCTGCTGCTCACTGCCTGCTGTTCACTGCCTGCTGCTCACTGCGCGCTGCTCTGCAGCAGCAGGATGCTCCTGGCCTGGGGGGGCGAATGCAGCAATCGCACCTTCTGAACTCTATGGGTCTGAGAACGTGGAATTAGCTGTTCTGAGTAGCATAGAGCAGTTACCACAGCAACAGGCTGCGGTTTGCATATATATTTTCTTGCAGAAGCAAAATTACTGACAGCTAATAAAAAACCGCCATGCTACAGGAAGTGCTTTGCATTGCCCGCTGGGCACAGCCGCGTGCTTCAAACTCCCCAATGGCGAGCGCGGGCCCGGCCGCTAATCGGGTGCTGCAGCCGGTGTGATGAGGCCAGGCCTGGAGCTGAGGGCTGTGGGTGGTGCCCAGCCCCACGCTCCCCTCCTGCACCAGGCCTGCATGACACAGATAAGGGCTGCACGGCCCACGGCTGCAGCCCTGCATGAGGAGAATGGCTGGCGCTCCTGCCACAGCACCACAGCGTTGAGGCTGCCCATAGAGGTGACCAGCAGCACCGTGGCCGCTGTGGCTGAGGCTGTGGAACCCTCTGGAAGCACCCGGCGCTCAGCCTGGGGTGGAGACTGTAGGAGGGATGTCTGCCAGCGCCGGGCTGGGCAGCAGGCAGTGCGTGGGGAGGAGGAAGTGTTGCGTGGCTCCCACTGCGCTGTGTGAGGCCCTTTGGTGTGTGACGGGTGAGCGGCTGCAGGCTGTGCTGTCTGTGCCAGCCTGCATCCCACCAGGGCTGTGCTCCCGGGCTGATGGGGGGCAGCTGCAGCCTGGGCAGGCAGCGTGCAGGAAAAACATAGCAGGAAAAACATAGTTACCTGCTCATGCAAGAAGTACTGCTTTCCCTTCAGATGTAAGCAGCCTCTCCAGATGGGGCACTCGGAATTAAAGGCAGAACCAGAATGTGGCAAATGTTCCAAATCTTGTGCCCCAAATTCAGCTGCTGATCAATAATAAATTCTGCACAAACTGCAAAGTTTGAACGATAAAGTAATTGGTTGGCTATTGTCTGGGTTTACAGAGTTTACAGTTATCTTTACATTCTCTTAACGCTCTCCTCCCATTTGTTCTTATGCCAACAGCACACTGCTGCAGGACTGCACTGCAAGCACTGGGAACTTTCAAAATGATTCTGTTTCTAAGCAAAAGTATTCATATGGATGTTCATCAGTTTCTGAGAATTTCAGATCTATGAGATCCACAGTATAAAATTAAGATCTATTTCCTGAAAGCTTGACTCAATTATTTCACGACTGTTCTTTTAAAAGACTGCAAAGCCATTTAGGAATAGTCATCCTTCACTAGGCGGGTATGCTGCCTAAGGACGCTCCAGAGAAAGCACTGCTTTCCTTTGCAGGAAGACTGGGAAAGCCCTGCAGTCCTGGGCAGGGAGCACAGCACAGGGCTGGAGCTGAGCAGAGCATCGCCTTGGCTGAGAGCTCTCATGGCTCAGGGCTGCACCCATCGGGTCACGGACGGAGCTCCAGGGCTGTTCAGAGATGGAGGGATGCTGAAAGGCTGAGAAATACTGTGTAGATACACAGCTGGGAAACAATCGTGCTCTGATGAATGAGCAAAACAACTAATTAACTACTAATTAAAGATGAACTTGTTGGCACCTTGTACTTGGATCATGGTTTGCCTTTCTTTCATTTTCTATCCATCTGAAGTGCCATCAGCATCAGACTGCCTGGGTAGATTGATGGCCACAGGCCATGCTTTCAATCTTGTTTCTTTCCTTGATGTTATTATTGCTTCCAAAGTGTTGTCCAAAGCCTGAAGACCTCCACGGGCCTTGTTCATCTGTTACTGAAATACTGAAGTGCCTGGGAGGGGCTTTCTTCTCTCAGAGCACAAATTATCCTCACAGGGAATTCGCCGGAAGGAGGGCAGACAAAAACCCAGGAAAAATGTCACTATCTGGCTTCTGCATCCACCCTGAAACCAAATCTTCATTGCTTGGCAGCTCATCAATGCTTGCTGCGTGTTCCTCAGCTGAAGTCATAGTCCTGTGTTTGTGAGTTGTTGCTGTGGAGATGGAGGTGGCTGCACCACAACACGGAAATATTATTCCAGGCAGCAAAACAGTATGCAAAAGCAAAAGAACTGAACAAAATGCCTTTTTTTTTTCCTGCACAAATATCATTAGCAACTAATAACCCTCTTTAGAGAGAGCTGTGAACGTCTCTCTGAGCATCGTGTGCCGAGGGCTGTGCCTGCAGCCATGAGCACAGCTGTGTGGCAGACAGGTGCCTGTGCACACAGCACAGCCGTGCACAGCACAGCACAGCACAGCACAGCACAGCACAGCACACTGCTCAGCCATGCACAGCACAGCACAGCACAGCACAGCAGCACACTGCTCAGCACAGCCATGCACTGCATGGCCAGCACCACACAGCAAGCTCTGCATCGCGTGCTTGGCCTCCTGCACCCACGTGCTGGCCATTGGCTGTGACTTGGTTTTTCCAGTCATTTTCCAAAATGCAAACACATCAGGATGTTCTACTCATAGTTCATTTGAAGAAGTTCTGAGGAGCATCTGAGGTGGCACAGCGGCCCACTGGGACTAAAGGAGCATATGATGATGTCACTTTGTAGAGTGGAGCAGAGCTGAGCGACCCAGAGATGCCATGGGCAAACTGCAGTTTTACTGTTAAAGACAGAGAAAGTACTGGGATAGCAGCAGGCTTTGGGTTAAAGCCCTGACTTTGTGGAAGTAGGTATTCAGCAGGTGCCCATGGAACAGCTTAGTGGTGACTGATGGCAAAAGCACGGCGTTCCATTGCTCCTGGTGTGCAAACAACCCTACATCACTTCATTTTTGAGTCAGTAATAACATCAACATAACTGATCTCACTTGTGTACATGCTTCTGTAGACTGGGAGGGAAGTGTACTTTCCTGTGCCATTTTCTCTATCTGTGTGGAAGTTTTTGTGTTCTCAGTAACTAGCAGTCGTAACGCTCTCTTATTAGAGCTGATATTTCTTATTTCCATTGTTTTCCTGAGCTTTGCTTCAGCTCTGTGCAGAAAAGCGGTGATTCTAACAGGGCCAGGAGCATTTTGTTTGAACTGAATAAGGACACTTTGATTAATTTGGAAGCCGTTATCCGAATCGGAGGAAATGTGGGAAACACATGGACAATCTGTGCTCCCCCCCGCTGCGAGAGAAGTCTCCTCTCTGTCCGTTCTATCGAGTGCTTGCAGATAACAGCTCTGCCTTCCTGCTGTATATCTTGTCCAACAGATCCAGACTTGGGAACACCGTTCTCTTTCCCGATACGGGAACAGGTAGCAGGAGCCCTTGTCTGTTTCTAAAAAGTAGCAGTCATTAATAATAATGAATTGGGGCTGCAGAAATCTCCCTTGTCTCTTCTTGAACTGCTTAGTAAAGTTTTCAGTTTCCCACTAGGACCGTATGGCTGAAATGCACATCTTCACGCACCGAATTGAGCACGAACCCCTGGTCTTGTTTCCCATCTCTCCCATCTGCCTTTCAGACGAGGCTCCCAGGCAGCGTGCAGTGCTGCAGTGCCAGCAGCTCCCAGTGCTGCCCACAGCCACCCCGCTGCCTTGGCCGCCACACTGCACCCAGTTAATACCTGACTGCTGCTGGAGCGACGTTCCTCTCTTCAGGTGTCTCTGTTCTGCACACAGCTTGCATTAACAGAGAGCTGCCCGGAGGCCCAGGTGATACATTTTAATCAGTGGATATGCAGCTCACTGCCTGGTCTCTTCTCCTTGCTGCACAAGACAGCAGAAGCAACGAGCCGCATGTAGAAGAGCATCTCTTGCTCTCCCAATCCCTTGTGCCTACAGTTATTTCACTTTTTTTTTTTTCTTCCAGGAAAAATACTCTTTTTGCCAAAATATGATAGTGGTGCAAAAACTTCCAGTTCTCACTTGTCCGGAGTGTTACGCTTGATCTGTAGCAGTCTGGAGTGTGTATTTGGAACGAAGGAGGTTGAGTCCAGCAGAACCCTGGCAGCAGCTCCAGTATGGGGGTAAATCGCCCCAAAACGGGCGGGGGGTGTTGGGTGGGAGATGGGTGGCCATGGGCAGGTAATTGGTGGGCGCTGTTCTGGGCCCGGAGCTCTGAGCAAACGGTGCATCCCCTTTGCCAGCCACCAGGTGCTGCCCGGGGAGATGCTGCAGCCAAGTGCTGAGCGGTTGTTTAACGCTGGGCGCAAGGCTTGAGCTGCTGTGCTGACAGAAGCTGTGAGCGCCGGCCTGTTTGCAAACTCCGGCATTTTGGCACTCAATCAAAGTATTTGCTTCCCAAGAGCATTTGATACAGCTGTGATCCAAAGGATCACATTTTAAAAGTATTTTGTTGCAAAACTGTCAAGTTGCTCAAGTGGAAGTACATGGCAGCTGCTCCTCCTCAAAGGACACGGCGATTTCAATGGGACGGTTTAAGGGATCCCAGCTGTCGAGCCAAAGCAGAACCTTCGCTTTTCCCCAGACCTGCCGCAGACGCAGCAGCTGATTAACAGGAGCGATACTGTCTGGCTTTGCGGCTGAAATACGGACATCTGCTGAACGCGCCGGGTCAGTGCAGCGCCATCAGCAGCTGAGCTGGGAGAACTCAGCGATGGCACATAGCTGTGCTGCAGTGCTGACACGGCAGATGGCAGCTGAGGTGGGGCACAGTGCCGGTCCTGCCGTGGGGACAGGAACAGCCCCGCAGGATCCGACTGCGCACGGATGTGAGCATGGAGTCACAGCAGCCAGCTGTGCTGCAATAATCACTTACAACGAGCACAGCATACGGGAATTGGTGCCCCACAATACCTCATGCAGACAGGCAGAGTGCTGCTTGCTCCTTTCTCACAGCTCGTCCAGCTGCATGCTGCCCTGCACACCACTCTGTGGTGGTTTGTTTCACACCCTCCTGTCAGCTCTGGTGAAAACAAATGTTGGTTCATTCCCAGTTTAGCATTTCGACACGGGGAGCCAACAAGGAAATGATGTTCCTCTCCTTTTATGGCTTTCTGCTCTGGCCTGACTAGAACAGGAGCATTTTGGCGATGGTGATGGATCTCTGTTGGACCATCTTGGAATAGCTGCAGGCAGAGCAGCCGGGGCTGCACACAGCACCTGCACAAACAGCAGCACATGCACACAAATTGTGTGCACACACAGCACCTGCACAAACAGCAGCATGTGCACACACAGTGCGTGTATGCACAGAGCAGAGCTCCTCACGCACACCACGGGCTCCCAGGGCCCTCCAAAGGCTCTGACTGCCACTGGAGCTGCATTTAGTGAACCTGGGAACAAACAGCCAGCCTGGCTGCCTCTGCCTGCACTCAGCAGGGCCGTGGGAGGCAGGGAGACAGGAGCACAGCTGCATGGAGCCAGCCAGGGACATGGTGTGGTCGAGCGTAGCCTCGTGCAGGGCACTGTGCTCCTTTTCTGTTTTCTGCACTTGTTTAAAAAGTAAATTGCAATCCGTGCTATAGAAAATGCTATGGTTTGGGGAGCTCTGGTGTCAGAGCGTAGCCATAAACACGCCAACAGAAGTGGATGTTAGTTGGTGCTCTGGGTTTGGTGCTTTTCAGGGGAAACACATGAGGGAAGAACAGTGCAGTGTAAGGTCCATAAAAGGTATTTGTCTTATATGTGCATTTGACCAATGACATCATTTATTACAAGGAAAGGAAAAATGGGGCCAGTTTCCACTTCTGCACATTCCCTCTCAGGGGTTGAGGGGCAGCCCAGCACCTCCAGAAACATGCCTGAGTTCCACTGGTCCCATATCCCTGTACTGGTGCTGCCGAGGGAGGTGCTGCCAAAACGCCCCTGTGCAGGCTGCAGCAGGCAACACAGAATCACAGAATCACCGAGGTTGGAAAAGACCTTCAAAAGATCATCCAGTCCAACCATCCACCTATCACCAATAGTACTCATTAAACCATGTCCCTCAACACAAAATCCAAATCCACGTTCCCACCCTGCCTATAAGGAGCAGAACTCACCCAGCAAAGCTCACACTTACAAGCTTGGGACATAATGAGGCATAGGGCGATAAATCCACAGCCCTGGGTTAATGATTATCTGACTCCTTAAACGTAAGCTAGAACTTCCAACCCCATATTTGAAGTTATGCTCCTTATAGCAGTGCTACAAGGAGTAGTAGCTTTGTAAGTGCCAAGCACAGAAGAGCGTTACAGGAACCTGACTTTGGGTAAATTATCACTGGTTATTTTGTGGGTTTTTTGTTTGTTTTATTTTCTTAGCGAAGGGAGCTCTCTGCACTGGGGCACAGTGCTGGGGAGGCAGTGGGGAAAGAAGAAGAGAGAAAGGAGAAGCAAAAAAAGGAAGGTCAAGATCAACCGCTTTCACTGTAACTGAAAGCAGCATGTGGGAAAGAAGGGACACGTCTGGGGTCAGTGAGAAGGGTGCTGAGGAGCAGGAGAGAGGTGCACAGCAGAGGGGATGGCAGGGGAGGGCTGCAGGAGGGCAGAACGGTGCTGTGCTGCACAACAACACGTTTCCTTCACTGTTCCGTCCTGCTTGCTTTTGACCAAGCTACCTCTGCTCCCTGTAGGTCAGAAGCATTGCAGAACACATTGCAGGAGGTACCAGAGCACACGCACACTTCTGTCTCAGGAGAGAAAAGGACCCAGTGACAGAAAGACAAGGCGCACACCCAGACAGCAGGGAGTCAAAGCAGATGCAGAGATGGCTGCTGAAACCAAAAACCTGCCTTAAAACATGAGTGAGATGTGAGCCCAGCACAAGGAATCGAGCACAATTATTGCGTGCTATGAAGCACTGCTCAGAAAATGATTATTTTCCTTTATAACAGCATATGGTGTGATGCATCGAATCATTACAATGAGATGCAGCAGCACTCAACTGAAGAAAGCTTTCTCTGAGCATTCCTAAAGGAAGCACACACCGGGCTGCTCCTGGCTGCACAGGCAGAGCCTGAGGGCACTTTGCTGAGCCAGTGACACAGAACTCCTCAGGACCCCACGTTTCACAGGGAGCAGGGAAACTGCTGTAAGAGCAGGGTAATTACAACCAAATGCATTCTCCTCTGTTTATTTCAGCACTGAAGGCAGCTCTGGTGCTCTCTCTTCCCTCAGTGTGCCGTGACAGCACTGTGCCCAGGGCTATCACCCTCCATCCAGAGGAACACAGAGGAGATGCTGGCCATGACAGTCCTGCAGAGCTCATTTCTGGCTCCTGAGGAGCCCACAGGCTTTCCCACACTGGGAAATGATGAAGCAAAATAGAGGCACACACAGCACCCGCACACATTCAGACCGCTGGGGCTGCTCCCCGCTGGGGAGCCCGGACACACACACAGCATTCATTCTGTCTGCACAGCTCAGCAGCTCAGCACAGCCCAGAGATTTCCACCAAAGCCTCTCATGCACCACAGAGAGGTGCCACACACCCGCACAGCTCCGCACCAAGAGGCCCTGGGCACACAGTAGCCCCACACTGTTATTCAGCACTGGGTTTAAGTTTCACCATTCCCAAACTTAGCTCCTCAGAGGTCATGAAAAATTTCCCACTTCTGACCTCAGTGTCAGCCAAGCCATCTGACACAGGTCATGGGGTGGGACTGCAAGCACAGCAAACTGACCAAAGGAGTGGGCAGATCGCACATCCCCATGGACACCCGCTGACACTGCACAGCAGCACTGCTGGCAGCCAGCAGAGCGGTGGCTCAGGGGCTCCGTCCCGTTGGGCCTCTGCCCACAGAGCTGAGCAGTGCAGGGCCGGGCTGAGAATCGCCCATACCCAGTGCTCTGGGTACCCTCGTGCTTCATAGGACAGATTCTTTTTTAAGGAGATTACTCAGAATGAAAGAAAACCCATGGAAACCAAGGCCCCATCCCCCCCGCCTCCATTCATCACAGCATCCTCCCACAGAGCCGTGACACCACGGCCGCCGGAGCTCCAGGGCAGTTCCCCACCATTTCCCAACACCCTTCCATGAGCCCACATGCCCACTCAACACAGTGTGACTTCCAGCCTCACCGCCTGCAGAGGAGCTCCTCGTGGCTGCACCATCCCCATGTGATAACAGCGATGTACGCCCTGCCATGTGCTGCAATAAGCAAAACCAGCGTCCTATGGGCAAATCAACATGGCCCCACAGAAAAAGGAAAAGCAGTCAATAAACAGCAGTGTTCTCATCCAAATCCAGACAAATCACGAGAGGCACTGTGCTGATGGCTCGGTGCTTAGTACTGATTTGTGTGTTTCGATCCCACGTTTGCATTTACAGCCTAAATCCTTCTGAGCTCAGATTTCCTCACTCCCGGATGCATTCCCTTGCACTGACCACACACCGGTATGGCACGGCCCTCCCAGCACCTCCCACCATGGCCCGCGTTGTCCCAGCAGCAACGGGGCACTGGGTGCTGGTGGGGCTGCTGTGGGTGGAATGCAGGTTCCAGCGGGGGGCAGGGACAGCCCTTCTGACAGCTTCCACAGGGAAGAAGCCTCTAAAATCTTACCTTTGTTAAACACTGTGTTAAACGTCAGAGGAAGAAGCAGCAGCATTCAGCACCGTGTTCTGCATAGGGAAAAAAGCTCCAGCTCTTCAAGTAGTATTCAAGCAATGCATTCTTTCCTTCCCGAAAGGATACACTGAGGGCAACTTGAAACAAGAGCAGAGATAGAAATCCAGCTCTGCTCCCATGACCAGCTCCCATGAACCAGGACCAGCACGGAGCGGTGGCGGAGCGGAGCCGGGCAGTGCTGTGCTCACAGCCCATGGCTGCTCCTGCGAAGCACTTGTGGCTGGGCACAGCCCTGAACAGCTGCCTTCAGTGTGTAAGCCCGTGTGTGCTTTATGCTTTACAGCACACTTCACATGCTGTCTCTGGGCCTTGGGGTACCATGGAGGTGATAAAACATGAAGAGCACTGGGCTGGTGGTGTACAGGCTTGCAAGGAGCAGAGTTCCTCCTGGGCCACAGGAACAGCGCTCAGATGAAATGGCGTTAGAAAGCAGGAACAACACGCAGAGCAGCGGCGGTCAGGTGAGGGAACATCCCCACCTCCAACATTAATGGCTGAGCAGCAGAAAGCTGCCAGCAGTACAGCCCTGTTCCATTCTGTGTGTTATGGGATGTGAGGCAACAGTCCACAGATGTCCTTTCCAAAGCCTGTGCCCAGGTACACACAGGGAATGCATTTGGCTGCCACAACAATTTTATTTATTTATTTTTTTTTTTCCAGATTGTACCAGTAAGGACAGGTGAGATGCCCCTACAGGAGCACATCTCCATGCAGCTGCAATGTCCCCATCACCGCTCAGCCACCCCCTGCAAATCTCCTCCCAGCACAGGAGCAGCTGGGGAGCTGAGCTCTGCTTGTGAGCGATCAGTGTGCACCTGCACAGTTCTCAGGAGCAGCCCTGGTGGTGCCTCGGGAGCTGTGCACCAAGCTGGGGTCCCTCACTCTGACCAACACTTTCCACACTCACTGCCCCGGCTCTGCTGCACCGGACAGACGGGCATAGAGCAGAGTGCTGCTCCCGTCCCTGCACTGCGCTGCACAGGGCTCCTTATTGGCACCCATGCTGCTCTCTGCAAGGAACATTTATTTTTAGGCTGCTGACCGCCATTGAGACGTGCTTGGACTGCTTTCAGCCTGACTCACCGCGGAGCTGCTGTGCTCCTGTGGCCAAGTTCTGTCCCCACCCAAAGTGGAGGAAAACGGAACAAAATAAAACACAAAGACCTGGGCTGGGCCCAAGGCCTCAAGAGTGCCCCCTGCCCTGCTGCGTCCAGCTCTGCTGTGCAGGGCACGGGGACCTGGCAGCATGGCTCTCACTGCTTAGGGCAGCTGCAAGTGGGCACAGCTCTGAGTTATCTGGAAAGAGAGCAACAGTGGAACACGGTTTAAATACTCAAACGCTTGGAAGCTAAAGCCGCCTATCGGCCTCAGTCGCATCAGAGCAGCAGGGCCACACCGCTGCCAAAGGGACCGCTTGGCTCGGGGCCGGTGCAGGGAGTTGGGATTTGGTGCTTTGCTTTCCCTGAGCTGCTCCCCTCACCGAGAGGCACAGGGCTGTCCGTTCCGCAGCACAGCAGCAGCACAGCACCCAGATCCTCTCCATGGTTTTACCTCTGAGCCTACCGTGGCCTCCTTGCTCCTGGCCAGCACCTCGCCCCGTTCCTGTGGCTCTGTGGGAGCTGCAGAGCAGAGCTGCTGCCTTATGCCTCCCCTCTGTGATGGTTTGCAGGGGGTGATCAGGCAGAGCCAGCTCCTTGTTGCTCTTCTTCTCTTCCAGTGCTGTGAGCACAAGGGCCAGGAGGCCCATAACTGCAAGTTCTGCTCTCAGAAATAATCTCCCGAAGTAAAGCAAACCTCTACTTGCATCTTGAAGTTAGATTTGACAAGAAGCAGCAGGAATAAGGAAATGCATCATTTTTGTTTTTACTTGAAAACTTCCTCAGTGCATCACTGGTGTTCTGCAGCCAGGTCAGATGGCACAAAGAAAGCTGCCTGCACACAGTGCAGCTCACGCAAGGCCTGCCTGGCCCACCGCCCTGCCCTGCTCCCTCCCACGGTCACAGGGCGAAGCAGCCACCTTCCCAGCCTTGCTGCTGGCTGAGTCTGTCCACCTTTTTGCATACCTCCTTTGGTGCACATCCTTGGTGCCAGCCCAAACAGGCGGGAGATGTAAATGGGCGCAGCTATTCATGCCAAAATGAAAACCCCCAGGAGCCGTAGTTCAGGCCAGGAAGTCACGTATGCAAAGGCAGCTCTGCATGGAGCCTGCAGCACCCAGCTCCAGCATGTTTCCCTCGGGCTCGGGTCTGGCCTGGCACCAACTAGCAGATCACTGATCACAAAAGATGTTTGACAACAAAAGTTCCTGCTGAAAAACGTCACAATGATATTTTATTTGCAATCTCAACAGAGCACAGCATACCCTATGCTGGGTTTGGTGTCAGGCTGCCCGCTGCCAGTTGACCTGCCTCTGTCCTGCTGGAAACAAATTGGCAATAGGCACTTTCAGTGACAAACTCAGCTCCTGTGTGTTCTGCTGCCTGAACAAAGCTATCTAAAGAATAAAGCAGTGCATGCTGCCGATGTTCTCCCACACAGCTTTCCCCTAGTTCCATTGCCAGAGCTCTCCCCAGCAGTTCATTTGTTCGTGCTTTTCAGCCTGCCCAAAACCTGCACTACTTTTGCCATCAGCATCTCTCGGAAGTTGTCCCCCATGAGGAAGTAGAACACGGGGTTGATGGCACTGTTGAGGAAGGCGATGGGCCGGGTGATGATGTAGGCAGTGTTGATGGTGCTCTGGGTGCACATGGACATGTTGAGGGCTGGGATGCGGGAGGCGAGGCGGACATTGCGCATCACATGGTATGGGGTGAAGAGCAGAGAGAAGGTGGTGACAGCCAGCACCACCAGGGTGAGCGGCCTCTCAAGAGCCAGGACAGAGCTGCTCCTCTCCTTCCAGGTCTTCAGAAAAAGCAGCATCTTCACATAGAAGAAGCACATTACGGCAAGGGGGATGAGGAACCCAAAGAGCGTCAGGAACAGACTGTAGATGAGGCTTTTCTCTGGGTCCCCAGAACTCGCGTAGTCGAGGCACGTGAAGTTATTGGCTGGTGACACTGTCTCCAGGAAGAAGGTCAACGGCAACAGCTCCAGTATCACCAGGACCCAAACAGCAATGCACACAATGAAGGCTGTCTTCCTCTTCTGCAGTGCATGATCTCTGAAAGGGTATCTCATGAGCATGTACCGGTCAATGCTGATGACGGTAAGGAAGAGGATGCTGGTGTACAGGTTGACGTGCAGCAGGAACCTGTTGCTGTAGCACAGGATGCTCGAACTTATCCATCGGCCTCGGGAGTAGCTGCTCACCAGGACCGGTAAAGTGCACAGGAACAGCAAATCTGACAGTGACAAGTTGAACAGGTAAATATTGCCATTTTTCCACTCCTTTAGGCAGAAGATATAACCAAGCACAACAACGCTGTTCCCAATGGCACCCAAAGCGAACTCCAGGCTATACATGGTGGAGAGGTAAACCTTCTGCAGGGCTTCTCCCACATCCTGACAGGCATACGTCCCATTCACAGCCTGCAAAGGCAGAATGAAAAAAGCAAGTCAGCACAATCCATCATATTGCTGTCGTGGTATTGTTGCTGTAATAGATCAACACGGCACACTGCTTCCTTCCAGCCCAGGTAGCAAGTAGGTGCATGAAGATCACACCTTGTTTGCACAAGGTTTCCGCTCTCAGCTGCTGGCAGGGTCAGCGAGGAGCAAACACCCAGGAGAGCACGCAGCCAGGAGGGCCCTGCAGTGCGGCCGGGCGCTGACACCCCGCAGGCAGCGGCTGCTCGCAGCCCTCAGCTCCCTTACACAACTTCCGCCCGCGCTGCCCTCTCAGCACAGCATCGCTCCCTTTCCAGGAGGATGAGCTCAGCAGCGCGGCTGCACTGACGGCATTTCTCAGAATTCTTTAAGAACTTACCAGACTGCGCTTACTGAATGGACGGAGCCATTCGTGACGTGTTCAAGTTTCTGCCGGCACCCCAGCAGCAGGATGGCACAGAAGTGGTGCAGGTGGAGCACATCCCCCCGCTCCTACGGGAGCACAGGGCTGCCCCGGGGCTCTGCAGCGTGGTGGTGAGGAGCGAGAACTCCTGGGGAGCTGCACCTCACAGGAGGTTGCTTGAGGATAAACCTTGCTTTTGTCCTGAGGGTATGGATAAGCAAATGCTTTTGTTTCAAAGAAATCAAGCAGAGGCACAGGCGCTCAGCCCTCTTCCTCAGGGAAACATCCACCTGCTGCTGAGAATCCCCAGGGGCACTGAGCACCAGTGAGAACAAAGTGGTCAGAGTGCAGGGGAAGATTGAGTGTTAGGAAAGTAAAACGTGGGTTACAACTGATATCAAGTTAAGGTTCAGCTCTGAAAGGACATCAATGTGACTGCCACAAAGTCTGCAACAGGCTGGATAAAGATTTGCAGACACCACAACTTCTCGGAGCTGCTCTGGTGCCTGAAGCACGTTAGTCTGAGAATGGGGACCTTGGAGCAAAGTGACACGCTATGCTCCGCAGCCAGCTGATGAGACAGAACAGGCACAGCACACATAGCTCCCCACAGCCACACACAGCAGTACCCACTCTTCCCTAACCCTCTGTGCCCCAGAGCTCCTCAGAGCCCTCGGGACCTGGAGCTGTTGGGGCCAGAGCAGCACCAGGCACACCAGGGCCCTGCCTGCTGGGGTCCTGCAGAGCAGCTGCAGAAGTGACCACACTGCCACCAGCACTTCAAGTACAAATAACAACTAGCAAGCTTCTGCATTAGCAGACACGTTGATACAAGCAGCAGAAGCAGAGGGGCTGCTGGCTTGCAGTGGATGAGGCCATGCAGGAGCTCTTCGTGGAGCAGGAAGGGGCACAACGCACAGCTCTGCACACAGCTCCCCATGCAGGGGCACAGCGTGCAGCTTACCATGCTGGGGCTGCTCCCTCGATGATGAGTTCACACCAACCATCCCTCAGTGGAACTTCTCCAATTGCCAGAACTCAGCGCACCACGGATGCTTTATCCTCGTTTGCATGTGATGCAGACGTTGATGAGTCATGCGGAGGCGCGATCTGTGTGGTTGCACAGCACCAGGAAGATGCCCCAAGTTTGTACAGGACCAGCAAGAGGCAGAGGAGAAGCTGCCCCCTGTGCTGTGGGCTGCCCTGAGTACAGCACAGTGACGCAGCCAGAATGGCTCCAGCACAAGCAGCACCTGCCGAATTCACAGTGCTGTTGTGCAGCCAGCACCACCAACAAGTGGGATGGGATGGATGGAGCCAGCTACGAAGTGCATATGGGTTCCATTTCGCTCAGAATTCCTCTTCCAGGCCTGCTTATCTGCTACACCAGCTCGTGGGGGAGCTCAGGGGCCCTGCCTCAGGCAGCACTAACAGCCCTGAGCTGTGCAGCAGTGCCACATGCCCGCTCACACAGCCTGCAGCAATGCTCCACATCCACTCCATACCCAGAGTGCCGGCTCCAGCTGTCGGGAGACAGCTGCCAACACCGGAGCAACATCTTCCTCTTTGCATCACTATCATGATATGGGCCATAAAAAATTCAAAAGAGAATGGAAGGGGCAGCAAAGAAACCTGTCACATGATGGTCAACCCATCAGTGATGACTCACCAGTCATCGCTCGTGGCCAATAGAGGCAGCCTGCAGCAGATGAGGCGCTGTGGGATGAGTGGAGGTTTGCCACAGAAGCTGACCGTGAGGGAGCAGCCAACATGAGACCCCTGCAGAAGTAATCCAGCAGGCAGACGTGCCCACCCAGCTGCTCGCTGGAGCAGATCTCATAGATTTTGATGACAGGAGAAGGCCATTGCTTTTTCAGCCTATGGAAAATATGAATACGTATAGAATATTGACAGCTTAGAGGAAAGGGGGAAGTGGGGAGCAACACACTTGACAGAGCTTTTCCCATAGAATCATAGAATTTCTCAGGTTGGAAAAGGCCTTAAAGATCAAGTCCAGCTGCAACCTTACCTACTACTTTCTGGATCCGTCTCCAACTCTGCTGATATATTGGCCACAAGAGGTTTAGAGCTCTTCAGAACATCGAGGACAACTTCTGTTAAATAATAAAAAAAAAAAGCATCAGAAAAAATGAACACATTTGGAATGCATAGAATGCCTTCACCTGCAGTGCCACTGCAGCCCCTAAAGGCACTGCTGAATGCCTCCCCCTGTGCTGGGCCACCACCTGAAGAGATCTGCAGTCTCTAAACACATTGGGAAATGATAGGACAAAAGTGCTCTTTTTTCCTCAAAGCATCCACACATCCACCTTCTGTGTGAGGTCACAGAATGATTTGTACTGAAAGGGATCTTAGAGATCATCCAGTTCAGGGACACCTTCCGGTAGAGCAGGTTGCTCACAGCCCTGCCCAGCCTGCTCTTGAATGCCTCCAGAGAGGGGGCACCCACAGTGACTAAGTCTTGGATGGTTCATTTATTTAGAAACTGATGTCACAAGTCTCTGATGCTCTTTTCCATCATTCTAGTCCTTACGAAACAGCCACAAGCCTCTTCATTCCGTGCTCTGCTGTAAGTTGTGGGATATTCTTATTTTGTTAAGAAAACATTGCATGAAATAACCAAGAAAGTATCCAAGGAAAACATCACCAGCATCTCTAGCACCTGGAAACAGCATCAGAGGGGCAGAGTGCCAGGTGTGTAAGGACATGCTTCCATTGCGCTCAAACAGACCCACATTTCTCTGACAAAGCTTCCAACACAGGCAGTGAGGAAATTCAGTGACACAGCACTGCCACAAGGCTCGTAATCATGGGGTATCTGGGCAACTGGTAAGCTTCTCCTTTCCTCTTGGGAAAAATGCATTGAACTGAGCAGGCTGATACATGGCAGAGGTCAGACTTTTTTTTTTCAGGCCAGCTGGTCTCCCAGTCAGCAGCCTCAATACAAACCATGTCATAGAGAAGCAACCCAGTGCCACCACCAGCAATTCAAACAGCAACCTGCCCCAGCGAGTTCAGCTGTGCAGATGGATGTGTGCAGATGCATGCATTGTGCTGTCCTGCAGGCAAGATGCTGGAGCGTTGCTTCCAAAAGCTTCACCATACTGCTCCCCATCAGCTCAAAGCAAATCTTCAAAGCCTGATGTGCCTTTGGCTGGAGCAGGCTCAGTCATTAGTCAAGGCTGTGCTTTTAAATTCCTGGGGTTCTCCAGCATCCTGAAGGCTTTGAGGAAGACAGTCAGGCACAGTTGTTGTCATTAAGGACCTTTAATTGGTGTATATTATATTGAGGCCTATCAAATGAGTCATGCATATTGGAGGGCTCATTGTGACACATTTGCATTTGGCTCAGTCACTGGGGCTGGCTGCGAGCAGAGCCCCCAAAGCAGGGGGGTTGGCCCCCCCCAGATGCACTGTGGGAGCGTGAAGCAGGGCCCTCAGGTAACAAATTCCAGGAGAAGGATCAATGGACACAGAGAGAGCAGAGGGACGGCAGAGAGCAGCTGGGCACAGCACACAGCAGCACACGCACAGAGCACCCGTTGCTGTAAGGCACAGCAGCCGCACCTGCTCCTACCTTTGCTGCAAAGAAAGGATTGAACAACACACGTTTACCTTTCCTTTTTCAGCACCAGGTTTACCTGTGTCCCAGGATAAATGTGACTCATTCCTTCTCTGCCCTGATCCCCGGGCTCAGCTGAACAGAAGTGCAGATAAAACCCAAATCCCTCCACTCCCACATTTCCCTATGTGCAATTCTGCTTTTATGAGAGGAGCACACGAACAAGCCTGAAGTGTTATAACTGCCTGTGGAATGCCGTTTGCATAACAGGTTTTGATAATGCCCGTCATGTACAACAGCCCCCCGAGTACTTTGCCACCTGTTATTTGGAATTGCACCAATTATGTCCAGGGTGCGAAAAAAAGGGGAGTTGTGAAATTGTTTCAGCTGCTCCATTTGACTTTGTTCCCTGCAGGAATAGATCTTAACAATGCACGCTTCAGAAACTCCGACACAGCCATCCTCCGTGCCCCGAGCTGCACAACCCCTCTTTCCCACCTGCCCATCCAGGAAGGTTGGATCTATGTGCAAAAGTTATTTCCCTGGAGAGGCAAGCACTCCTCCCACGGAGCAGCACCCAGCTGCAGGAGTGCGGCAAGAGCCACTGCCTTCTGCCTTCAGCAGGGCTGGGATGGACACTGCCAGCTCCCAGCACCTCAAGAACCACCGTTCATTTTGCCTGGCTTCATTCCCCAGTTCAGTGTGCGTGGAGGAAGGCACAAACGTCTCAAAGAAAATGACGTTCTCAAATTGTTAAGCAGTTAACACATTCACAATATAACCTTAATGCTTTCAAACATTTATCTCAGTTTAATGTGCCAGGAGTACTGCACAGACTCATCCCTTCTCAGCACATTTCTCATGACCCTGAATTTAGCCCTGATTCTCTGTGGCAGTTACTGTGTGTAATGAAGTTCACTTGTCCTTTCTGTCACCCACGTATTCCGTTTATTGGAAAAGAATAACATTGCATTAGAATCAGAAAAGTTTTTTGTATTCAACATAAGACAAAAATACAGCAACCCTGACATAATTCCATCTAAACGCCTGCATACACACATGGAAAAAACAGCATTTGTGCAGTAGCTTTTGTGCAAAAGAAACAGGATGCTGCATGTTCGTTGGTGGTGTTTTGCAACCACCTTCAGACCAACAGCCCACCAACGTGTGCTCACCACTCAAGTTCAGGGACTCGTATTTAATACAGAGAGCACCTCTACATAGAATATTCATTCAGAACTGTGCTGAACTCTGTCTTCTTCAAACCTATAATGTTGCCTAATTTTATTCTTAAAAACTGCATAACAGTGATAGGGATAACAAGAACATGACACTTATTTAGTAAGCAGAACACAATTGCAGAGCAGTGTCATTCTAAGGGCAGGACCTTTGCACCCTTCCCTTATCTGATGGGCACCCAGAGCTGTTCAGTTACACTACTTCCTTCTATTACAGAGCCTAATGGAGGCAATTACTGAGTAAGACGGGTGCAGATTTTTAGTATTTGCATCGTCTCGCAGCCATCCCCTTCGGTCTTGTGGTGCTCACCTGGAGCTGTGCTGCAGGGCTGGCAGCAGGGATGCAGTGGGCAGATTCCACTGCTGCCACTCACGCTGGGTCTGCCCACTGCTCCTCTGCTGCTTGTGGAGCACCTGACACAAGGGGTAGGGGGTGAGCAGACAGAAGCAGCAGCTGTGTGAAATGGTGATGGCACATGCTGACACAAGCCCATCGCTGTGACACAGCATTGGGAAGGGATTAAAAGTTGCCCAGCTGAGCCCTCCGCTTTGCCAGGCAGGCTGCAATGGGAGCACTGCCCACCAAGCCCAGGCAGCTGCACAGTGGGGACCAGGCACAGCCTGATGGGGGTCAGCCAGGAAAGGGGTCCCCAGGCAGTGCTGGGTCCTAAGCTCAGAAGGCAGCACCAAAAAAGCACACGTTGGATCAAGCTCGTTTTCCTGATGGAGATGACAAGAAATGCTATGCAGACACCTCAAGGCAGCACAGAATACAGCAATCACACCCAAAGCAAACAGACCCCATTCTCCCGTACCCAGCTCAGCTGCACCCAGCCAAGAGCCAGATGTGTTGCAGCACCCCTCTGTGGCTACAGATGCTCCTCCAGCCACCGCAAGTAGCTGCTCATCAGCCTGTGCCCCACGGCCGTGTCAATCGGGCTGGTGACAAACGTCAGCGCCCCGTGGAAGCCGTCCTCAGCGTGCTCGTGTGTGACAGGAACACCCACCGCCCTGAGGCGCGTGGCATACATGAATCCGTCATCCCGCAGCACATCGTGCTGGCAGGTGAGGATGTAGGTGGGGGGCAGCCCCCGCAGCTGCGCCTCCGCTGCCAGCAGTGGGGCTGCCCGCGGGTCCAGCAACCCCGGGTACTTCTCTGTCAGCCCGGGGCTCCCAAACACCGGGCCGGTGTAAACGCGGTCCTTCTTCAGCCTGTCGGGCAGCAAGGTGCTCCAGTTCACAAACTGAAACAAGTGGCCCCATTGGGCCGGGATGTGGCGGTTGGCGGTCATCGCTTCCCTGAGAGATGGATCGGAAGTAAAGTATTCGCTCCAGAACCTGATCATGAGCGACTTGGACAGAATGGGCATGTTTGCATTTTGTTCGTAAGATGGCAGATTCATATCAAGAGTTTGAAGAGTAGGATAAATCAAAGCCTGGGCCCTCGGCTTGTTTGTGACTTCAGAGTCCTCCAGCAGCTGTAGATAAAGGAAATAAGTGCCAAGTCAGTCAAAAAGTGTTGGTTTTCTCACACCAACTGGAAACCTTAAAAGTAAAGAACTAACTACTTCTTCCTCACACTCCTCAGTGTCTGTGGTGCATCCACAACCTTCCCAGCCGAGCACAACCTGACCAGCTTCCCAGAGATAACTTCCTACTGACTTAATTAAATAACCTGCAGTAAGCACAAGAGGCACTTCAAGATTGATCAAAGGGTGCTAAAAATTAGTCTTGTTGCTTTTATTTTGCTGTCACTGAGAACAACTGGAGTCAAATTGATGAAATTTCCTTTTCTAACACCTTCCCTAAAACAGTAAAAATTCACTTCAGGGTGTTCCGATGCCTTTTGATTAAAAGGCTGAAGCAAACTTGCTTAATCAGAACATGAAGGACCTCCTGCACGACAGCCTGCTCGCACCAAACACACGGACAGGTGCCTTGTTCTCCTTGCAGCCTTTTCTAAGCCTCCATGAAATCACAGGCAATAGCACTGCGTTGCAAAGCCACCTGCGTACCTTCTGTGCCACAGCCGCTGCCAGGTTGCCGCCGGCGCTGTCTCCTGCGACGCAGACCCGCGCCGGGTCGACCCCGTACTGGGAGAGCACCCTGCTCTGCAGGAAGAACTTGGATGCTGAAAACACATCTTCAAACTGAACTGGAAAGTGGTATTTGGGTGCCAGCCTGTAACTGTTGGAGAGGAGCAGAGCGATGTTACTCAGCACTGCAGAGCTGAGGAGCGCCTTTCGCCCCATCCTCACTCTCTCCCATGAAAATACATGCATAGATACGCAGTGTTGCGTTTTCTCTATCTAGAATGCCCAAGATGTTCTCATCCCACAGTTTACTCCTTAAAATACCGTATCTACTAAGAACATCAGCAATCTGCCTTTCTGCTTCTACAGATTCCCTGTGCCTGCAGCAGTGGCAGGACTGTCCATCCGGGAGGCTCAGGCATGGGGTTGCCCACCCAGCACCACAAAGCAGAGCCTGAAATAACCACCACTCAGCACCCACCGCTGCACCTTAGCAGCTTTTGATTATGATCACTTCAAACTAGAAAGAACTATATGAGCCAAATAAATTGAACTGAAATCCTCTCATTTATTTCAAGTGCTCATTAGTCTAGAAGGAAAATCTCTTACTTGACTGATACCACAACAGCATTTAATTGGTTTGAAGTCTTTCTTGCCAGAAAGTCATAGGGTTTCATGCCTGAAATGAAAGGAGTCACTGAAAATCCATTTCAATACACATTTGAGAACAAATTAATCTACAGCTGCATGTTCCTCATGGCAGAAGCTTTCAGGTGACTGCAGCAGCACCATCAGGCTGTGTGCCCATAGGGTTATCTCAAAGCACAACCTGGGCAAGAGATCCAGCCGTCACTTGAATGTTGTCAAATAGAATTAAGCACAATAAAAAATTACAGTACTTTCCAAGCAACATCCACGAGGCTCAGCTGTTGTGGCAGAGAGAAATGGAAGCAAGAAGCACAGCAAGGTCAGATCAAGCTCTCAGCATCACACATGCATTCACACTGAAATGAAAGAGATTGCCTGAGAAAAAGAGCTTGGCTCACCCTCCCCCGAAACAAGCAGCCGACCAGTGAGTTGAGCTATGGGTTGGTTGGGGAGAACTTCAGCCACATCTACAGGACTTTGATGCCAGGCTGGGTGATGGCCAACAACGATCGTTTGCGACCTTTGATGTAAAGCTCTGAAACTGAGCAAAGCAAAGCAAAGGACTTGCTGTAGGGGAGAGCGTGACTGGGCTTGAGAGGAAAACATGAATAGTTCCCACAGAATAATAATAGCAAAAGTATAGCAGCAATTAAACCATTTTAGAAAGCTATGCTGAAATCAACAAGGAAGAACACCAAGCGTGAGATGAGCACTGACAGCACAATAGTAGCCAAAATCAAAGAAACATGCTTACCTTCCCAGAAACACATCCATAAGAATAAAGGATGCAGTAATAAATGACTTCTGATATTGCAAAACTCCATAAAATCAACGCCAGGGATTAACAACTATCCCACACTCTCCCTGGAGCAAGAGGTGTGAGGAGCTTCCACAAACCTTCACTCACCATGTCCCCATTTGGTTTCTGTTTCTTTCTGTCCCTGTGTGGAATTTTTTCCCCCTTACTGAACCACTCCTCAGTTCTGCTTCCTTCTGTAAGACCCCCTAACCGTGCCCACAGCTGCAGATAACACACCGTGACACAGGGCTGGCCACTGGAGCAGCCCTTCATGCTGCTCCTCACGAAGTCCTGCTGAAATGCAGCCCCTGATCCTCTGCTGCGACTCCCAGTGGGACATCGAGACCTCCAATGCAAACTATGGCACCGACAGGAGAGCTCACCTGCATCTCCAAGGCAAAATCCTCCACCATGGAAGAAGAGCATAGCCCTCCGCAGCCCCTCTGTTGGCTTTTTGGGCAGGAAGAGGCGGACGGCAACACCGCTGAACTCCGTGTCCGTCACAGCCACGTTCTCATCTGAGGTCGGCGCCACGTACTGGGTGACCGAGGGCAGCTTCATGACATCCATGTAGTTCGCCAGCCCCAGCATCTCAGCAGCCTTACCCTAGAGCCCAGGAGCAGCAGAAATGACATTTCACACACAGCTGTAGTGGCTCCCTGAGCTCACACCTCCACAAAGCTGCCTGATGCTGCACAAGGCTCCAAAGCTGCTGCTGAACTCACGGGGCAGAACACTGCTGGCTCAGAGGGGTTCCCATCACCAACACATTTCATTACCAACAGAACTGATGTGTTAAATGCATTGAGCATGGATTTTTCCCTGTTTCTTTTGCTTCTGTCAGAAAAAAAAATGCGGATTGTCCCTATAAGAGCAGTCTTACAGCAACCAATAGCTTCATATTTGGAAATGATATTGAAAGGGTACAAAATCATACACAAGAGATAAAAGCTTTCAGACATTCTATGTACAAATACCCGCTTAATCCAGCCCACATCTTGGGAGTAATGAAGAATTCCTGCAGTACTAGCAAGAAACGGGGTAAGTGCAGATACTTATGGGATGGAAGAGGCAGCAGCAGGACAGGACAGA